GGCACCCAACATGGGGCTCCCCATAATCTCTACAAATATTCTGGTGAAGAAACACGAGTGTGGAAAGTGGAGGGCAACAGACAAAGGATGCATTTGTCAGTTTGGATGGTCCATCCATTTGGATGGTCTCATTGCAGAGTTGTGTTAAACCTCCTTTTATGTTGGCAGTGGGAAAAATTAATATCCTACCTGACTCTCAAACCATATCATGCCTCAACTGTCATCTTTTTACCTGCATTAATTCTACCTTTAATAAAGATAATAGCATTTTACTGGTTAAGGCCCAAGAAGGAATTTGGATACCTATTTCCCTCAATAGACCTTGGGAGGCCTCTCCTTCCATACATATTATCACTGAAGTACTAAAAAGAATACTTAATGGATCAAAGAGATTCATATTTACTTTAATAGCTGTGATCATGGGCCTTATAGCTGTTACAGCTACTGCTGCTGCTGCTGGTGTTGCTTTGCACTCTTCTATTCAAACTGCGGGCTTTGTGGATATTTGGCAGAAAAATTCTTCTAAGCTTTGGAATTCCCAAAGCAAAATAGATCAAAAATTGGCAAATCTAAAAATCTCTGTCAAACAATAATTTGGATGGGAGATTGGATTATGAGCTTGGAGCATAGAATTCAAATGCAAGGTGATTGGATACTTCTGATTTTTGTGTTACTCCTAGCTCCTATAATGCCACTGACCACCATTGGGAGATGATTAGACATTACCTACAAGGAAAAGAAGATAATTTAACATTAGATATTGCAAAACTGAAAAAAACAAGTCTTTGAGACATCTCACCCATTGCCTGGAGCTGATATTCTTGCTGGAGCCGCTGATGGCCTTTCTAATACCAATCCTTTAAAGTGGATTAAAACGATAGGTGGATCAACAATTGCAAATTTTATTTTGATTTGTGTTTGTTTATGCTGTTTGTTTTTAGTCTACAGATGCGGATGGCGCCTTGGGAGAGAAGCCAGACACCGTGAACGAGCCATGAGAGCAATGGCGGTTATGAATCAAAAAATATTAATAAAGACAAAAAAGGTGGACATGTGAGAAAGAGAGTTTCTTGGGTGCCAGTTGAGTTGGTCTCCCCTGTGTGAGACACCCATGGGAAGCCATGGGTGGCCTCTGAGGAGCAAAATCTCCTTATTGCCTTCATGTCTTTATGCCCCCAGAGCATAACTGCTCAGCGGCATTCCACAGGTTGCTCAGGGAGATAACACTCTCTTGAAGCAGTGGAGTGTAATCAAACATCTTGGTTCCTCCTGAAACCCACTCCTACCCATTTCAGTCCCGCTAAGTTTAAGATCTTAAGTAAATTAGACACACACTTTTGCTCAAGGAAATTCACAGAACCTGCCACTGCTATACATCTTATTGAATGACTCATGAGTTCTCCTTCACTGATTAATCCTTTTTCTCATCCCTTCCTCCTCCTATCTGCCCTAAAAAAAAGAGCTTGTAAACCAATAAACTGGGGGGATCCTGAGAGCTCTGGGCCATCAGCAAGACTCTGATGCTCTGGTTTCCTGGACCCATCTTTTAAATGTTTATTCTGTCTCTTTCTAACTCCTTTGTCTCCGCCAGACTCAGGGCACCCGCTGAGTGGTGTGGGGCTGGTTTCCTCAACATTATTTTACTCTTCTGTTAGTTCAGTGTCTGCAATTGACTCCTGTTCTGCTCAATATTGGATCAAAAATCCTCATGAATACATCAGCTCTCCATGAGAGCCCTGGAAAATTTTCTGTCTATTCTAATGTTACAATCTCTAAAATTATCAGAAACCTATATTTAGCAGTGCTCCTTAGAGTTCTATAGCTGATTGTAAACTGCCTTATTAAAGGATTAAAGTAAAATGTCTTAGAACATCTATAGTTAAAGATACAATTGACAAGGAAATTTAATTACTCTGTGTCATACAACTATTTTAGATAATAATTGTAATTACTATTGATAACATATACTAAGACATATTACAGTCACAGGAATCTCATATAATCTTGCAATAAATACTGCTAACACTTTTGTATGAATATAATCCAAAGATGGTTAAACATTATTTTATATTTGACAATGCTTTCTATATGATTTTATTACATCAAATAAGCCAAATATTTATTTTTGGACTTCAAAGGACCTACTATCAAAAAATTAATGTGGTCAATAGAACTGAATTTAGCATATGATTTTAGAAAGCTCATCAAACATAAAAGTTTAAAACACTTGACATCACAGAATAGGATCACAGGTCACTGTAAAATACGTCATTCATTTACCCAATAAAAACTCAAAGATTTTCCTCTAAAAAGCAAAAATCTTTCTTCTTTGAAAGAGGAGAGTTAATCTCCCAAGCAATAAGCCCTAATAAAAACAGTGTGAGACCAGTTAAATCTGTCTTTCAAATGTTATAAACAAATCTTTTTAGTTTTAATTATCTTGACCCTAAGATATAATTTCCATAAATCTTTTTATAAAATTGTACACTTTTTTTTTTTTAAAGATTTGGTTAATGCTCCAAGAAAGGCTTGTTAATCTGACTCAGGGGCCTATATGCTGGTCATGCATCAGTGTTCATTTGATATTAATGCTAAATTTATAGAGAAACTCTGAATTATTTTTATCTCTCAAAATAGGCTCTTATAGTCTCATGTGACTACCTCTTCTGCAATAGTATTTGGGTCTACAGGGGTTCAATAGTTTTAATTTCTAGCTCTGTGTCTCACAAAGGCAGTTTACTTTGATTGTCATCATCTCTCGCTTCTGATGAAGGCTTTAACTGCTGTGAGTGCTTAAGATTTTGCAGTACTTGGTGTCCTTTTTAGACCCAGGAGACAAAGTACTGTAATATGATAGCACAGGACTGTAAAAGCAATACAGAAGGTTGCATGGATATAAAAAGCTTAATTTTTTAAAGTTTTTAATTATTTGTTTTTACATTACAATTTGTTTTAATTTAAGTCTTCCTAGGGAAATTAAACCTTAGTAAAAATGACATAGAAATTATTTCAACAAAACATAAAATCTGTTAGATCTGTTACAAAAAGACAAAAAAAAGAAAAAAGAAAAAAGACCTTCTGCAGTGTGATTGCCTTTCTTTCCCTATGGGGAGTTCATTTAGATAACCTGGAACTCAAAACTAATAAAAATGATATTTGAATTAGTCAAACATAGGAAGAGTGTGTCCTGGGTTATAAGTGAAGCTTTTTTGTTTCATTAAAGCCAAAGGTACAGAATGTTATATTGAAAGAAGATATTTCCTTTAGAACTTTAAGATAAAACATTTTTAGCATCAGGCCACAATAGCAGTTAGAACCGGAGGGAAAAAAATTGAAGGAGTTATTATTTCAGGTTTTTTCAAATGGGGGAGAAAACTGAAAACAATGAGATGCAATAAAAGTTGAAATTTGGGGTTAAAATAAATTAAAATCTCTTGTAATTTTATTAAGAGCAAATAAATAGTTTAAGAAAATTTTGGTGTTCTAACCAATTCTTTAGTGTGTTAGGGTATTTTTAATATTGAAGCCCAATCTTTAGAAACACTTTTATAAATAATTTCCTTTTCATGATAGCTAATATGATCATATAAAGTTTTCTTTCTCACAAATTCTCTTTGTACAAATCTGATCATGACTTATACAAGCCATTTGCATTATACTCAGATCTCCTGTTTTATCCTAAACATCCCTGTCTCCTAAATAACCAATTATTTTACTTTAGGACAAAAAATTTACCTTATAAGATAATTTCCCATACACAATTATTTTCCTTTTAACCTTTACTAGCTGAAATGCCTCTTTATATTTATAACTTTCTTTGCATCTCTCTTATTTACTGGTTCCTTTTACCTTGTTTCATAAATAATCTCTAAATAACTTTTGAATTAGGCAAAAATTATTTTCCTTTAAATAAGAACACATTTTAAAAAAATGATTTCCTATAATTTTTAAAACTTTGGAAATGACCCAGACATTTAATGACCATCTTTATTTAATTTAATATAATTTTAGATTTTAAATAATATGACAAATTTATTTATAAGCATTTATTCCATTACATTTAGCTGATTAATTTATTTTTAATAGTTTACCTTAGATTGCTTATGAAAAATGTGATAGTCATTATTTAATCTAATTTTCCTGTTAGCCATTTGTATATCCTGTGAATTTCAGGTGTTTACTTAAGAGTAATAAGGTTAAGTAATTTTTTTTTATCAATAACTCAAGATTTAGCTGTATTGAACAAACAATATTAAGTGCCTTATTTATAAAAAATTACACAAATAGAGATAACTCTCTTTTGGGATGCATTTATAGCTTTATAACCCTCATGCCAAATTTTGACAGCTTATAATATCCAGCAGAGAGAAATTTAAAACTATTTGACCAATAAATCTAAACAATAATGTATATTGACAATTCTGAAGGGATTTCTAATTTTATTTTACCAACCAGCTTACTTATTGAAGAATAATTTAAGCCAGGTAAACTTGAAAATGGATTTGGACTTAAAGTCTCTATTTTTCTGATACAGCATTGGATTTAAGCACTTCTTTTTTTTTCTTTAAGCCAATGAATTAGAGCTCTTTTAAATATTTTTTGTAGTGAAACATATACACGATATATTAAATACATAAATAAATATATAGATATATTAGATATGCAGGTGGAAGTAAATCTTATAGATTTACAAGACCCTTTTCTTTTTCTCCTAGTTTAGACTTTCAATTTCTTGATCATCTGTCTCATTACTCCAGGCAGTTGTAAGCTGAATAGCCCTAAATTTGCTTACTTAAGTAGCAACTGTTAGGTGAAAATCAGATAGCAAAATTCACACTTCAAAGTACAGAGAGACAGAGGAGAGAGAGATAGAGGAGAGAGAAATAGAGAAGAGAGAGAGAAAGGGGGAGAGAGAGAGAGAGAGAGAGTCTGGTGTGTGAGAGGGAGATTACAAATAGATGCCAAATCAAACATAAAATTGTATCTACCACAGGATTGTATAAGAAGACCAATTTTATTTAGATAGGTGGTTTTAAATTTAGCCTCTATCTTTTAACTGGATCTCTGGGCTCTGAGCAAAGTCCCCACTGAATCCTGGTCTGCAAAAAAAAAAAAGAGCTGTCATGAGATTAAGCCATGTAATGCTTTTACACTGCACTTTGTTACAAAGACATTTCTCTGTCTAAACTACACCCTTTCTTATCTTAAACAATCAAGAGTAGCCCCTGTTGTAATAATTATTTTAGTCCAAAAAAATCATGTAACACAATACAAAGACAAGTAGTTTAAGATCTGAGAGGAGCTTTTCTTTTTACACTCTTGGAGTTTACATAAGGAGAAACAAGAGCTTCTCTCCAAAAAGGAGTCTGGAAAAATGACGATTCGGCAATAGACGAAAAAAGAAACTGGTAAAATGGTTTCTTCTGATTACACGGAAGAAAGATCATGGGCATAATGACTTTATAGTTCTTGCATAAGAAGTTATAAAACAAAATATTAGTAGTCTGTGCTGCTTACTACTGGATTCAAAAAGGAAAAGATGATATATTAATTTTAAGCTTGTTATAAAATGGGAGTCCATGACAATTTAAACAAGCATTTGCTTCCCATACCCAATTTCTAAAATATTAAAACAAAGAAATTCTTTGAGTTCTAAAAAATTAACCATTCTTATATTAATGAAATATCGTTAACATTTCATCAATATCAAGTGCGATTTCAAACAAAACCACACTTATTGTTTAATCCTCTGTGTAAAATAAGAGTCTCAGATTAAAGAATAATGTGGTTTTCAGCTAATCTTTTCTTTCCATTGTACAAAAATTCCTTAGGAAAAAGAAGCTAATCATTTGTGCCATGCTAACATTGTGAACCCAACATATTTGTGATAGATCCATAAAGAAGGCATAGAGATGAGAAAGCAAAGATGTATATAAATACAAATCTTACCGTGAACATGATTAGTTTCTCATAGTGCTCTCTCCAATCAAAGAAAAATAAAAGCCAATTAAAATGAAGGAGAGTATATAGGCCCGAGTTAATAAAGAGGCTAAGAACTTTAAAGATGTAAAGCTCCCTCTAAGCCCTCCACATCTATTAACAGGAAACGGAATGTACATATTTTTTCACCCAAGTTGCTAAAGCCAAAAAAAAAAAAAAAATGTAAATGACGATTACCCCAACAGGTGGAAACTGAATTGTAGAATAATGTACATTGGAGCTTCTTTCGGGGACAACAGCAAAGGCCTTGGCCAGGTGCGGTGGCTCATGCCTGTAATCCCAGCACTTTCAGAGGCTGAGGTGGGCGGATCACGAGGTCAGGAGATCGAGACCATCCTGGCTAACATGGTGAAAACCCATCCGTCTCTACTAAAAATACAAAAAATTAACCAGATGCAGTGGCGGACACCTGTAGTCCTGGCTATTTGGGAGGCTGAGGCAGGAGAATGGCATGAACCTGGGAGGCGGAGCTTGCAGTGAGCCAAGATCGCACCACTGCACTCCAGCCTGGGCGACAGAGCGAGATTCCGTCACACACACACACACACACACACACACACACACACATACACACACACACAAAAGAGTGAAAGAGTGAAGGCCTCCTTGTGTCTGCATATACCAGAGATCCTGAACTCTGAGCTCAATGTCATGACAAAATGGGGATTTTTGTCTCACTTGGGAACAGGATAATGTAACTTATGTGAAAAGCAAATTAAACTAATATTTCCTTTCCAGAACAGAAGACTGTAATAGTGATTCTAGCTATGCTAATAATCTGGCCTTCTGGCTTCTTTCAGAGAGGCCTGTAGTTGAGATTTCTTTTAGTCAATGAAATGTGAATAGATGTGAAATGTCCCGTGTCCAGGCAGAAGCTCTAACGGGTAATGTGCAGTTCACCACGTTTCCTTCCTCCAGCTGTGATGTACTTGGAAGCACATGTTGAAACAGTGTCCAATCAACTTAGGTCTTGAATTGACTACCATGAAAAGAGGCTCTTACCAATCTTTGTACATCAAGTAGTGTGAACCCTTAGTTGTGTTATGTTGCTGTGATTTTGGAGTTGCTTTACAGTTGACCCTTGAACAACACGGGTTTAAACTGCATGGTTTCTTCTGCCCCTGCCATCCCTGAAACAGCGAGACCAACTTTTTCTTTTTCTCCTTCTCAGTCTAATCAACATGAAAATGACAAGGATGAACACCTTTATGATGACCCACTTCTCTGTAATGAATAGTAAATGTAGTCTCTCCTCTTTATAATTATTTAATAACATTGTCTTTTCTCTAGCTTGTTTATTGTAATAATATAGTATATAATACATATAACACACAAAATATGTGTAAATCTACTGTTTATGTTATTGATAAGGCTTCTCATCAACAATAGGCTATTAGTAGTTAGGTGTCGGGGGACTCAAGTTGTAAACAAATTTTTGACTGTGTGGGGAATTGGTGCATCTAACTCCCATGTTGTTCAATGTTTTATCTGTTCAGGGTCAACTGTATTTTACTCTGTTCAAGGGACAACTGTATCTTATCCTGTTCAAGGGTCAACTGTTTACTCTGTTCAAGGACACTGTATCTTATCCTGTTCAAGGGTCACTGTATTTATCTGTTCAGTCCTGTATCTACCTGTTCAAGGGTCAACTGTATCTTACCCTGTTCAAGGTACAACTGTATCTTATCCTGTTCAAGGGACAACTGTATCTTATCCTGTTCAAGGGTCAACTGTATCTTACCCTGTTCAAGGGTCAACTGTGTCTTACCCTGTTCAAGGGACGACTGTATTTTACCCTGTTCAAGGGGCGACTGTATTTTACCCTGTTCAAGGGGCGACTGTATTTTATCCTGTTCAAGGGGCAACTATATTTTATCTTGGCAAACATTTCCTATAATATGTGGAACAAAAATAGTTTTACTTAGTTTTTTTATTTTAAAAAAATGAATGAGAAGTATGTGTGTGTGTGTGTGTGTGTGTGTGCGTGCGCGCAGTCATCACTCAGTATTTATGGGAGACTGGTTTTTCAGGACCTCTTACAGACACCCAAATCCACAGATGCTCAGGTCCCTGATATAGAATGGTGTAGTATTTGTGTATAACCTATGCACATCCTTCCACATACTTTAAATCATTTCTAGATTACTGATAATACCTAATAAAATGTAAATGCTATATACACAGTGGTTGCACTGTATTATTTAGGGAACAATGACAAAAGTCTATACATGTTCAGATTTGCTTTTTTAAAAAACAATATAACAAAGTGGCTCATCTGAAATTCCTCTTGCTAGAAAAAAAAATTGGCATTGAAATAACTTAATATAGTTAAAAATATATAGGTCATCTTGCAAGAGAATAATGGGAATTCTGAAAATAAAACAAAAGAAAAGCCTAAGCTTCTAATGTATATATAATTTCATGACATGGATGCCTAGAGGAATTTGAGCATGTTCACAACTAAGATGTTTGTGTTTTATACCTGTGACGTAACACGTGTATACTGGGAATAGGGAGCAGGGCAGGAGATAAAGCCTTAGGCCAATTCATGACTTGGAAACATGTAACTGAGGCTGAAAATTACAAGAAATTCACAATTGAAAAGTAGGCTACAGAAAGGAAATTTGCCTATCTTCGCTTGTATTCCATGTGGGAAAAAAGTTCACCAGAAAATTTATGTCCTTAAGCAAGCATGAAGATGAAGTCTTTTAAAAAATTCTATATGTTTAAGTTGTACTGCAAGATTTTTTGGTATACATATATAGTGAAGTGATTACTATAGGTTGAGTGAATTAACATATCCATTATTTCCCATAGTTACATATCTTTTTTCTTATTTTTTCTTGTGATGCAAGTCTTGAAACTGAGAAATTACCATATAAAGGGGTTGGTTGCTAATAATTCAGTAGATGTACATTGTAAAAGCGATCATAGAAGTGGTCTTGAGTAAAATATCAAGCAACTCATGATACAAAAATCTGTCTAAGCAAAAGTCGGCACTGTGAATATACAAGTAAAGGTAAATAAAATGAAAAGAAAGAGACAATAAATAACAGACATCCATGGAATACAATATTTGTTTCTAAAATAAAGTAATGTAAGAATAGACGAAAAATACAAGAAAAAAACCCATGTAATATAATAATATGTGAAGAAGAGAAATAATCAAATTAAAATTAAATATGCAATGATGCACTAAACAATAAATCAGTACAGTTTAAAGGACAGTCAAATGACACAGGAACATTAATAAACGGACAATATAAAGAAAGTTTATGAGACATGTAGGGTATAAAAAAGTTCCATTAACCGAATAAATGAAACTGAACATTTACTCTGAGAATACTAAGAATATTCCAGGTAAAACGGAAAACATGCATCTTCAGATTCAGCAAGCACAGTAGATCTTAAGTAGAATAAATAAAAATCAATCTCCACCTGGACATTGTCATAGTAAATTATAGAAGCATAAATGGAATAATAGTTATTGAATGTATGTAAATTAAACACACACACATACACACAAACACACATTACATATTACCTCCAAAGAATGAGAATTTGATGACTTTTTTAAATAGCAAGAACAAGCTAGAATATAATGAAGAATTTCAAGTTGCTGGAATAAAATTTCTGTGATTTCACATTTCTATATCAAGATAAAGAGAAAATATGAAATAACAATACGTTAATACCAAAATAGAAAGCTTTGTACTAGCAGAACTTCATTTTACAAGCTAGTAAAAGATGTGTATCCAGAAAAAGAAATGACAGTGCATGTAAGTAGTTAGGGCTAAATACATCCCTTCATAAGTGATAGTTGACCAGTGAATGAATACCAGATCAGTTAGCCATGTGAAAGAGAATGACTGGAGAATAAAGTGGGGATTCTTAAAACAGTACTTCAAATGTATAAAATATCATCATGGAGCCTAAGAAAAAGATCCTAATACAGATCTAGGGGCTATATGTTGGTGTAGTATCAAAAGCTGCCAGGTTACAAGCTGTTGCCGGAAGTTGTACTGTTATTCATCCATAATGGGGAAGCACTGAAAGAATTTAAGTAGATTGCTGACATTCCAATTGTATTTCAGAAATA